TTGTAAAATTGTCATATCTGATCATATTTTACTATTCCAAACTTCCCTCTGCCTTATGACCTTTATCCCTGTTTTTCATGTTCTCCATGATCTCCAATCCTTCCACTCTTTCGCACTTCTTTTTCCCTTATCTCAACCAACCCCTTGGTTTATCTATTCAGCTCCATAGTATCTTACACACTTGAGTCCCTAGTCTTTCCTATCATCATGCCTTATCAAACCCCAGCCTTGGATTATTCCCATTATCTGCTGCCTTCACTCTTATTAATGTTTGAAAGGAGTTGGAGACAGTCCCAAAATTATTCTGACTGGGTCCCCTATAAATTTGTGACATAATCTCAACTTGACCTTTAAGCAATCCTTTTATACCTCCCTAATAGATTTACTTTTCCCGATCATCACAGATACTATTTCAAACCTTTTCATTCCTCTCACACCTCTGCAGGACCTTCTTCCTTAATCCTCTCAGCTGAGGACCTTGATTCATTACTGGGGATGGAGGAGGGGAAAACACCTGAGGTAATTTGCTGGTGTTCCCTTTTCTCCCCTCAAATCTCTCAGAAATCTTTCCTCATTACTTACTTTCTTACTCCAATCTCAAATAAAGAGGCCTCCCTTCTTAAGGCAAATCCCTTAACACACACTCTTGATCCTACCCCCTCCTAACTTTTCCAGCAGATTGCCCCCACTATCTCCTTCCCCTGCAGCCTACAAATGCACAAGTCTCCCTTCATCCTTAAAAAAACACAGTTCCATAAGATTTAGCAGCTTCTACATTAAGGTACCAGAGGGCTTGGAATATGATATTCAGGAGGTCAAAGGAGATAGGATTACAACCAAGAATCCACCTACCTGGTAAAACTGAGTGTAATCCTTCAGGGGAAAAAAACTGATATTCAGTGAAATAGAGAAACTTCAAGCATTTTTGATGAAAAGACCAAGAGCTGAATAGAAAATTTGACTTTCAAATATAAGACTCAAGAGAAACATGAAAAGGTAAACAGGAAAGAGAAATCATGAGGGACTTACTAAAGTTGAACTGTTTACTCTCTACATGGAAACATAGGCTTTTTTTTAACATATTGATTTGGCTTTGATGCATTTTCTCTTCTTCCTATTCTTGTAAGGGATGGCTCTCTGACGGGGAGAGGAAAAGATACAAGGGAGACTCTAGGTGATATAAAAACAAAAGATCTCAATAAAAGATTTCTAAGCAATCTCTGGAGAATTATACTGAGATAACAGGTCTTTCCGCCCCCTTTCACCTAAGTATAGGAGAATTTTTGCCTTGTCAGGAAAGGGGAACTATATAAGCAAAAGATTTATTTAAAAAATAAATATTTAACTTTTCACCAGATAAACCTGAACAGGAGACTTAGAGATAAAATAATTACCCAGTCTATCTTAGTGGACAATCACAGAACTCTTAAGTTACCTTCTCCTCTCCAACCCTCAGAGTTGGTCCCCATTCCAAGTTTGACACAGCTAAGGGTACTAGATCCTCTAGGGTAGAATTTAAGCCATTCTATACAATCTCATTGTAGATGACTCTTGTTCACATACTCCATATAGCCTGCAACCTACCCTTCCAGTCTTACTGCCCTTACATTATTGCCCTTCATACATCACCAAACTAGAAAATTTGTTTCTCAATCTGACCTCTCCCACTTCCATTCATCTACATAATACCACATCATCTTAATTTTGCAGTATCCTTCATCTTCCTTCAAGGTCCTGCTCAGACTTCACTTTTTCCATGAAGCCTTACCTGATCCTTCCTGTTACTTGTATTCTGCACTTCTGCAAATTTTCCTTGAGTACTTCATTTTGTCCTTTGTCTTCATCTGTGTGTGTTAAGTTGTCCCAGTAGAATGTAAGCTCCTTGAAAGTAGGGTTTGTTTCTTTTTGGTCTCTGAATTCCCAGAGTCTAATATGGTGGTTTGAAAATAGCAGGCATTAATGTTTGTTGAATGTTTAGAGACAACTAGTTGTGCAGTGCATAGAGTGCTGGGCCTGGAATCAAGAAGATCTAGGTTCAAATCCAGCCTCAGACACATAGGTGTGTGATCCTGAGCAAGTCACTTAAATTTGTTTGCATCAGTTTCCTCAACTGTAAAATGGAGATAATAAAAGCACTAACCTTGTAGGATCAAGTGAGATATTTGTAAAAGTATTTAGCACAGTGACTAGCACACAGTAAATGCTATATAAATGCTTATTTCCTTCCCTTTGGTTGCTGAATCAGAGGTTCTACTCTCCCTAATGTAGGCCTTGCTTTGCTTCTTTTAATATTTTCAGTTAACATAGAGATAAGTATAAGGAAGAATGAGTAGTACATATGCATTCATGTTCCAATGCTTTCAAAATAAAGACCGCATTCGAGAGGAAGATCTGTGAAAATTTGAATTCTGTAATGTGTCAGAATAAGGAATCGCAAAAAGACAAGTGAGGAGAAAGGTGTCGAATACACGACTCAGTCAATTTTCATTTCATTCTTTTATTAGCAGAAATTAAGAATACAGCAAGTTGAGAGATCCCATGGTGAATGGAAATATCACAGATGCCGTTCTGGAACCCCAACCCTCCATGATCCCCAAGAATGTGCTTTGTGGCTTCAGTAATTGAGGCGAGGGGAGGACATACTGAACAAGGCCACCATTTGATGGGGAAAAGAAAGACATTATAGAGGTCCTAACATATGACCCAAAGAAAATTAAATTAAAATTCACACAGAGCAAGGAAGCCTCTGATTGCTGAGAGTAAGGCATTCAGGTGCCAACCTGGTGAGAGTTCTCAGCTAGCACAATAGAACAAAATGCACAGGGAGGCTCTTGGTAATATACAAAGACACACACAGACACACACACACAAAGACACACAGACACACTCACACACAAGCGTGCACACATATATACACACACACCCTAAAGAGGGAGGGCTTCCACTGGATTGAGGATAGGTAGAGTTCTAATTTTTTTTCCCCAGGGGTTTGGGGTTTGTGCTCTATCAGACCAGGCTCACCTCCCTCCTTTAAGGAGCACAGGGTGACTGGCACCAGTGACTATGTGATACAGGGGCCTGTTATACTGTAACCCAAAGTGCATTACAGAAGAATTAATTGGGCTTCTGTTATGTATTGTTGCTTCTGAGAAACTGAATGAGCTTCCTCCCAGGTGGCTCTTGTCCTGATGGACCCCATTTCCTCAGAGGGATTAATACTGCTCTTTATCCCCTTAGGATGTATGCCATTTACCTGAGCTTTCCATGCTCAGACCTGGTGATGCCCAGGCCAATGACCTTGCTCAGAACCAAATACTTTTAATCTTCTCCCAGGTCCTACCATGGATCCACTCTCCTTGGCCTCCAGTGTCTGCTCACTTTATATAAGGCATCTTCAGAGATCCACGAGTCAGAAGGGGAGAGGAGAGCAAAATTATTTAGGGAAAAAAAAAAAACTTTCTACCAAATGAGTCTTTCCTGTTTCACTGAACATTAATACAGTAAGCTAGCTGCTATGCTTGGTGCCTCATCGTTTGGTTCCAATACCCATGATCCCAAGGTTACAAGTAATTAAGGTTTCTACTTGTTAAACAAGCCACTTCAGGATATACTTGAAACTGAAGCCCCAGTTTCTTAGAACTTGCCCCACTCTCCTTTGACACTACCCATGCCAGAACAGGAGTCATAAATAATTTTTTTTTCTATTTCAAATTGCCTTTTTAGGACATTATCCTAAGGATCCTATACAATCTCCCTAGCAAGCTTCCTCTAATAATCCTCTAAAAAAAGAGGTTTAACAAGTATTGCAGACAAGGTACCAGGTTGTCTCCCAGAGGAGGGAAGGTGGGTATTAAAATTGGATTTAAGATGGTATGGCTGATTTTCCTCTTCAAGAAAAGGGCTTAGGAAGGGAGTATGCCAAAGGTTAAAAAACCATCTTTATAAATTGAAGGGTATTCACAATTTATGCAAATGAGTTTAAGAGGCACCAGGACAAAATGAATCCTGGTTTTGATGGCTGCCTTTATTCTATCAACCAAGACACCAGGGAGAAGTACTCACTCTCTCAGTGGGAAGAAAGGTAGAATTAGCGCAGTGATTTCAACACAGAAGGATTTTTTAAGTGTCACAGAACTCCTAGAGAAAGGATATAGGGAAACTGATGCAGCTCACCATCCAAAGATAAGCAACAGCACAAAAATCAGATAGTCTGCCAGGAAAGTACTCACACTGCCCCAGTGCTAAATCCAAAGCTTTTCTTCCCCATTATCTCCTACAGCCCCTGCATATGCTGCTTGAGTGCAGACCTAAACACCTTTTCTCAAAGAGGTGATTCTAGTTCTTAGGAGTGTCACTAACAGCATCTGCTAAGACAAGAAAGCAAGATCCCACAAAAGCATCCAGACTTTGTGCAGATGAGTACTTCTGGACCTTTCCACATTCTCGTGTCCATTTACATGTTGCTCCCATTAAAAAGACACATACAATAACCCTCTAGTTCACTGCCCCAAGAATTCCAGGTATAAGAGTAGTCACTAGACTACTGGGCTGGGCCTGCCATAGCCTCTGTCCCAATATAGCCCAAGGTATTCAAGCCTTTGGAGAGGCACCTTGATACCACCAATGTATTACTTGTAATAGGGGTCTCATCTACAGCCTCCTTTGTGCAAAATTGAAACAGTGTGTGGTACTTGCATGTTTCATTCTTTACAAAAATTCCCCTACCCCACCCCCTGTTTTAAACATTTATATAAATTCTTTTTTAAACAGAAAGTTAGAAATCTTATTTACATTAATTTCTTTGTTTTCCCAAAAGAGCATCTAAAATCACACCCCTGCCCCTTAGCAAGATATAAATGTTTACCCCAAATTGTGGTTGATTTATTTAAAAAAGAGAGGGGAGGGGATAGAAGGGAAGGGAGAAGAGAAGAGAAGAGAAGAGAAGAGAAGAGAAGAGAAGAGAAGA